TGTTATATTCTAAAGAGAATTTAAAAGTTTTTTTGTTGTTGTTGATCAAAGTGGTCATGCCTCTCTGAAGATAGTGAACAAGCACACTTCATCAACCTAGAACATTTTATCAGGTTAGTTTGATGGGGATTCTGAATGTTCCAGATATTTCTTTCCCTGGAACACTACAAGTAAGCCCTTTGGGTCCTTAACAGATCAGAATTCAACTCCTTTCTGTTGGTGTTAATAATAACAATACCCACGTGGTTGGATGTACATTTCACTGTAGGCTCTCTACTGTCTAGTTGTGAGATATATGTATGTATGTATATATATATATATATATATATATATATATATATATATAACCAAACCATAGAACACATAGAGTGAACTGACACTTTTTTCACATGAAGAATCTGAGTGTCACAGAGGTTTGTCTAAACTTAAACATCTACTCAGTATCTCCAACTGTTATCAAACTTGGAAGGTTTAAGCTTGGTTTTATTAACTGTGTAGTTTTAAAAATTTATTCCCTTAAGATTTTTCTATACCTATAGCTTTTTAATAGGTATGGAAAACTTTGTACTATACTGGTTTAAGTATCCCTGTACAATCTTTCCATTATACTATAAGCCCTTCCATAATCTCTGCATGATTACAGACCTAACTCTTGTGACTTAGTGGGTATCCAGTGCATACTCAAAAATGAGAAACCGATGCATGTGAGGCTCATGAAATTGGCTGAAAAATGTCAAAACTCCCTCATGGGCTAAGTCTGGATCAGGGAGATCTACACAACCCCCAGTAATGTGTATGCAAGCAGAGTTAGCTGTTTGTTCTTCTCACTCGTATAGAAGAGAAATTGTTAAAAATGACTTTCCATATTTAATTGTAAAAACAATACAGGCTATTTATTAGTCAGCTTTCCTGTTGCTGGATGCAATGCCTGACACCCATGACTTAAAGGAGAAGAGTTTAATTTGGCTTGGATTTTACAGTGATTCAGTCCAGGTCAGCTGGTTCCAAGGCAGAACCATTCATGGCAGAAGGTAAGCATGATGGAGCAAAGCTTCTTATTCTTGACAGTGTTGAAGCAGAACAAGGGAACAGTGCCAGTGAGGAAGGGGTAGGAGACCAGACATCCACGACACACCCAGACACACCCAGAAGTATGCTTTACCCCAGCCCCAGGCAGATCTAAAGCACAATCAAGCTGAACTGTCACAGCTAGAGAAAATCTAGAATATGTAGAAGAATGTAAATAAGAAAAGTTTTTCAAGTTTCAACAGTATTATTTTCCTAGTTACTGTTTGTAAAGGCATTTATGTACACACATGCTTTTCATAGCTATAATCATATAGTTTTATATTATGGTTTTAAATTTTTTATTATGTCCCTTAAAATCTTTTTAAAAAGATGCTTGTCAATGGTCTCATACTTTTCCATCGTATGGAGGGTCCATAATTTATTATTGGATATTTGGAACCTATTGTAGTTTGCTCTTATAAATAATGTTGTGGAGAACATCTTTCTATATAAATCTTTTGGAGCATGACTCTCAGTGTACCATCTGTCTCCTAGAGTCCCTTGATTGGTGACACACATCTCTGCTAACTGACAGTGGACACATGGAACTGAAGCTGTGCAGCCAGAACTTGGCCAGAAGACAAATACATTAGCAGTGGCCTGTCTCATATTCATAAAACAGGCTAGGGAAAACTATAATTCTGCTGTCCATTTGTTTGGTTTAGAAGTGGAATGCCTCACTGATTCCACACTTGATGTATTCCAAAAGAGTGAAGGTGACCTTAGAGAGAGCCAGACATTTGGAATCCAATTAATCAAGCTTCAGGCCAGGTTGGCATCCAACACCAACCAGAAACCTAATGAGCCATCAGCTTCTAGTTACTCAGAATGAGAGTTTAGGAAGGAGTGGAGATTCAGTGTATCCGTGGATGGCCTATGGAGACCACAGAGGAACAGTCTTCAAAACTAGGGAAGGTTGATTGGGAAAATTGAAGGTTTATGTAGACAGAGAAAACCCAATAACAAATTCTAAAATTTAGTGAGCTCTATTATGATTGCTAGGAAGAGGAACCTTTAGTTAGGCTTGTATGTCATATCACCAGACTAAAGTAATAGAATTTTAAGATTATGATTTAAGGATCATGCTTATGTCTCTGTTTTCACAAGATCTGCAATATATAACACATTTATTCAGAAAGTTTGTTGAGGTGAGGGTCTCACTTATTTTATAAATATATTGTAATATTAAAAAATTGAAAATCTACATAAAAAGACCTGAATTATTTTCAGTTACTTAAACTGCAAGCGTGAATGTTTAATATTCACTTCTAATAGGCCCAAAGAATAAAGCTTTTACCTTTCATCTAGAATTTAATCTTCTAGGACAGAGTTGAAGATTTTAGGTCCAAATTCCAGGTATTTAATATATTCCAGTTTTGCTTTCTTCATGATAATTTTACCTCTAGCTCTTAACACGTATTATGCTAAGTTGCTGTATTAGTTTCAGGGTGTGAAAAATTCAACTGGTAATGGTATGCAAATTAGCCTAATCCAAACTTTTATGGATTAGTGCATTCAAAAAATTCTTTGAAATACAAGTAACTGAAATGATAAAAAGACCAACCAGTCACCACTACAAAGGAAGATTGCCACAAGTAGAAGAATAAAATACTTTAAAGCAAATGTGACTGATTTTAATCAAGCATATAACTATAATTGCTGATATAAATTTTTGATTATACTATGTGATGTAAACAGAAAATATCTGTTTCTAATCTGTATTGTGTGTGACTTGTGTCTGCCAAAAAGACACATTGAAGTCCTAATTCCAGGTACGTGTGAATGGGACCATATTCAAAAATAGGGTCTTTGCCAATGTAATCAAGTTAAGACAGTGTCTTAGACTGGGCCTCATCCAACCTGATTAGTGTACCTATAAGACAATGAAGTTTGGGCAGGCACTCATGGAAGAGAGGCGAAGAAGTGGAGTGTGTGATGATGCAGGCAGAAGATGGTGTGATACATTTAGAAGGAAAAGAATGGCACAAATTTCTGGTAGCTATGTGAGTCTGGAAGAGCAAAGGAAGATCCTCTCCTGCAGGTTTCAGAGGAAAGAGGTCCTGATGACATCTTGATTTCACAGTTCTAGTCTCTAGAACTGAGAGTCAATAGAGTTATGTTACTTTAAACCATTCAGTTGTGGCACTATGTTACAATATCTCCAGCATTTACTATGTTCTGTCAAGTTCACTTTCCTCATCTCTTGATTAAGTCTGGGACAGATCATACAGATTTTTGATCAGTTTGTATTTTTAAATGTTGGCTCAATTTAATTCTCCAACCTCCCAATTGATTTCCATCTCACCTACTTCCTTGGCTGTGACCAGTGCCAGCCTTTCCTTTTCTCTGTGTGCCTTCATGGGGAGCCTCAGAAGTTACCAATTTCTCCATTTATCCCTGTACCTGGGACTCAGGTGGAGAGAGGGCTATATTCATCTTCCCCAGGCATGCCACCTCGCTTCTTTCTCACCACGAGAATGAGGCAGACCACTCTTGTAAGCATCTTGTGAGCACAAGGCAGGAAGTGGGCTCAGGTCAGAGAAGGATCAACACCTCCAGAAACCTAATCAGCAGCAGCCCTAAGATTTCACAGCATCCAGCAAGTCAAGTGCACTGTATATTCTTATTGCATGCACTTCCGCAACCCATAGATGACTTCCTTAGGACTTTGGTCACTTGTCTGCAGGTGTTCTGCTACTGATCCGGGCTGGGAAGTTTCATTCGAGATGTGAGCAGCTCGAAAAAAAGACGTGGAGCTCTGGGAATGTCTGACATGCTTTTACTGTCTCAACGCTGCAAAGTTCTACTCCCTTATTGACGATATCATGCAAAGTCACTAAGTTGCCAAAATCATATAACACAGAATACTTGTTTACATATTTACTGTGGATGTGCATGCTACATAACATATACTGACTCACTAGCAAATAGAAGGCCAAGGCATAAAGCCTGAGCCCGGCCATCTTGGGTAACCTGACCATACAGCGGGGATTACTTTCAGCATCTTCTTCCTTCTCACCAAGGGCAGGAAAAGGACTTAGGCGAAGAACATCAATTATAAACATGGCATGCATGAAGCTGCAGATTTCCAAGGCTTTCTTCCTTGTTACTTCGCCTGTGAAGCTGTGGGGCTGGCATGAGAGTTGGGTAGAGGAGAGCCAATTCAACTTAGAAGAAAGTTTCCTGACCTGTTAGTGGCTGTCCTTAGGATGTGGGAATATTTAATGGCTTTTTCTCCTCAGTTGTCTTGGCTACAAAGGCAGGATGCTTACAAGAGTGGTTGACCCTCTCTCATCCAGAGATGGGGTGGGTTGCATGATTATGAAAAAGCTAGGTTACTGAATTCTGGGGGTAACGTTACACTTAACTTATTGCACTGGGAAAATATGTTCTCTATTTTCAGGTTTTCTTTCCCTTCTCATTCTTCTCCTTTGATATTACAAGATGTTTTCTATTTTGCCAACATTTTACGATTAATGAGATGGAGGAGGAGCTGCATTTAATGTGAAGGTCTAGTAGTGAGATCACTGTCAAGTGGCAGTGACTCCTGGCCTCCTTCCACAAGCTGAATCCGAGTAAATTGAAGAAAGGAAAGGGGCTTTCAGTCATCTGGTTGCAGGTCAGCAGGCTAAGGTTTTGAGATTAATTACTAAATAAGGAGGATGAGACTGATCTCTAAACTAAGTGTTCTTATAGTGTGATCCCCTGATGGCCATCAACAATACTACCTGGAAAGTTAGAAATACAAATTTCTTAGGCCACCACTGCAGACCAACTGAGTCAGAAACTGGGGACAGGTTCCAGGCGTCTGAATTAACATACCCACTAGGTGATTCTGATGCTTTCCAGTATTTAAGACTCACTATTCTAATGAGACTTCTCTTCCCCAAACCAAAATGGAACCCTGGCTTTGCCAAACAAGAGTAGTCTACTTTATGGCTCAATAAAAAGATTTGATTTATTTACAAATAATTCCTTCAGGATTCTCATGCATTGTTTTTTGCATTATACACTTTGGGTTGAGTTTTGTGACATATTTTGGCTGAGGTGAAGGAATTCTCTTTTCTCTTACCTCAGAGAATGAAACCTCAGAAGATTATCTTTTAAAAATTTATTTTATTGGTACATTTTAGATATACACAATGATTACCTTCATCATAGGGACTTTATAACTGTACATGTATATCTTGACTCTTTTTTCCTCATTCCCCTCCCCTCCTTTCAATCCCACTTCCCTTCCTTATTTACAAAAGATTTGTTTCCATTTTTTCCTTCTTCTCTGATTTTATAATAGATATTGTGAAATAGGAAGAAATTGTTCAAAAGGAAAAGGTACTAGGGAGGAGGGAAGGGGAAAGGAAGGAAGGGAAATGAGAAAACATCAGAAAAGATGTTTAACTATTTTAAATAAGGTGATTCCCACTTGAGCCCAATCATACTTAGTGATATTTATTACTGTGGAATATTTTATTGCATAAAATGATGCTTAAGGATGGCACTCACCCTTCCCTGGTGTATTTCCTCCATAGCAATGATCAACATCAATCATATTACATACTTTTCAGTTATTTTTTGTATGTCTAATCCCATCCGAATATGAACTTAAAGCAACGGGTTTCACCTGTTTTCTTAGGACTTTTAACAGTGCTCAGCAAATTATAGACACTTAGAAATTATTTGCTGAGTGAATATATGATGGTTAGGTTTCCAGAATGTGTTTTATAGACACTGTAAATTTCTTTATTAACTCACTGAAGAAAATTATGGTTTTTACTCTTGTTTTTTACTGTGAGAATGCTTAATACCACATGCTTCATAAGGTCCTTAGAATTATCCTTATTTTTATGAAATATGAACAAGAACACTTACTAGACTGATATGGAGTTGGAGTTGTCACTCAGGGACATATTATGGGGTGACATGGACTGGTACTGACTGAATAGGGGATGCTGGACGAGGGAGAGAAACTAACACCAAAGAATTTCTGTCAGTAATTTCTGACCATGCTAGCATGCTCTCTGAACAAAAACGTCCTTCTGTAAGGGTTTCTTTTGCATAGTAGATCCATTTGTCAATAATTGTGCTAGGCCAGGCACCTCCCAGGATGCAGTATCTCCACTTTTCTTTTTGCACATCTCACAGCTCCCACTTCACAGATGTTCACTGTTTTCTTGAGTGTTGATGACCCCATTTTGACACAGTAGAGTTGGTTTCCACCTTTGATGCACTGAGGGGGCAACAGGCAGATACAACTGGAAGTGGAGGCTGCAATGAGACATGGAGACAGTGCGGCATCACAGTACTGCAGGGCTTGGTTTTACTTAACCCATCCCCATGGTGGTGATCTCCTTGGTGACAGTGAATGAGAAAGGTGAATCAAAGGCAATGACCCAAAAGACACAACTGTGATTAGTAGGAGTGACCTGAATGCAAGACAGCAGAGTGCATCCTAAGCCAGTAGGATCTCAGAGCTGAGCTGCCTCTGACACCTTCCCGTCTCACTGCCTTTTGTCACTAGTCCTGTTAATCCATTTCCACAGTCTTCAGTCTGTCCTTTCTGGGGTTTTTTCTGGCACTACCTAAGTACACTGTAGTTATTATTTACAGGACATAAACTGGAAAATTACACAATATGCCAAGCACTTAATAATCTTTATTTCATTGAATCCACCCAGCAAACAATATGAAATATACTATTGTGCTAGTACTACAGATGATAAAACAGCTCAGAGAGGTTAGGCAATTTGCCCACGTTTGTTTAGCTCTTCTTGGAGATCTGTCTTTTTAGGCAGCAGTTCAAAGAGGTGATTCTCCTATGAGACCTGGTTTTGGAATCACCTAATCACTTCATAATTCATACAATTTGTATTTATGAAATATCTTTAAAATAATCATTTTGAGTGAGGTAAACTGACCAAGATCAAGCATGATAAATAAATTAGGTTAGAGAAATGTTCATTAGCTTATACAGTACATGTGTATGCTTTAGTCAGATTTCAGGGTCCTCCACAATTTGACCTTGACTTCTTTTTTTCTTTTTCTTTTTGGCACCAGGGATCAAACTCAGGACCTTGCACTTGTGAGGCAGAGGGCGGCACCACTGAGTTAAATCCCTGCCCCCCTCAATTTCTTTTTCCAACATTATTTAAATTTTTTTTTTACTTTCTCCATCCCATGTAGATTAATCCTCTCTCAGTTTTCCAAACAAGATTCCAAAGGTGTTAATGCTTTTGTCCTTTTACTATTTCATCACCTTCTTTTGCCAGACTAACATGTTTGTTTTAAGGCCTCTCCCCATATCAATTCTCTACAACTCTTTCCTTCATGAATCGTTTCATAACCACTTAACTCTCATGATCTTTTCTTTAACTCAAGTTTAATAGTATAATTTTCAGTATATATCTGATAGTTTTATGCTTTCTACTTACACATATTTTTTCTCTAAGAGAATTGTAAGTGCTTTGAGAACATTAACATTCATCCATCTCTATGACCTACTCAGCTAACAAGATGTTCATTTAATTCCTCTGGATCAGTTGATTAAAGATTTTGAATTTTGGGTACACAGATATAAGCATATAAGAATAAGGATTTCATGAATGTGGGATAATCAGTATAACCAAATTACTAGCATCAGCTTGCATGTCACTGATGATGTCATTAATGGTTAGCTTTTTATAAGCGGATGTTAATTTTTTCCTATGTTTTTCACATTATGGGACAAAACAGGAAAAGTTAGGGAGATACTCATATGTACCATATGCATAGACATCTTGCACTTAGTAGGAGATGAAAAAGCATGTGTTTTCTTCCTGTCTTTTCTCTAGAGAAGATTTTAGCTGTGGGAAGTCTTGTCCATTGTTGGAAGGGTTGGAGTTTTGAGAATACCAGGGAACTATCCCATTTTTGGTGAGGAAATCAATTCCCTGGCTTTTGGAAAGGCATAGTAACAATTCTCTTAGTATGATTGTAGTGTAAATGCTCTTTAATGCTCTTAGCCTGATTTTTAGACTACAAGCACCAAAAGGCCCTTCCCACCACTTCCGCTGACTAATTGTTCAACACTCAGTGCTCGTACTTCATGGTTATGGAACCTTTCCAGTTGAGAAGGTATTTCTCTCATACAGTTCTTATCACACAGTTCTTTACATTAAGGTGATTCACACAATTACTGTGAAGTGTTACTCCTCCAACTACTGTGAACAATTTGAAGGGTACAAAGAGTTTTTTTTGTCTTCAGCCTGCTCACCATTCCTTGTACAGAGATTTCTGCATATTGGATGCTAAATGGACTTTTCTCAATGAATTTCATCTTCCTGTTGGTTGGCTCTCTGGGGAAGGCATTCCTGTTCTAACTTTTGAAAAGTGAACTTCATGTTATTTTGAAGCTGAACTTTAAACTTTCTCTTATTTCATTTTAGAGAGAGAAGGAAAAGAGTAACAAAGAGCACAGTATAATCAAGAACACAGTTTAATCAAGGTGGCATTCAATTCAACTGAAAATCTCTAATATCCCAATTTGCTGTGAGTGGGTTGGTTATAAAATACAGTGCTAGCTTTCTCTGTCTTTGTAAATGCATTAGTCTGTACATTGATACTATTCTCTAGTGCCTCTCCAAACAGCATTCTTTGTGACATTGACTTGCTCCCCAGTTGAAGAATGCTAACAGAAACAGACTGTATCTTTAGGAAAAAAATGCTCTGAGTTTTCTGACTATATGCAGGAAACAAAATACTTTAAATTACTGAAATAAAGCTCTTAATAAGAAACATTAACATGTTGGTTTGGTTATCCCAAAATTTTCTTCTAATGTGAACAATATTAGTTAAGCATCTAAATATTTTAGTATTTTTTTTTGTTTGACACATTTAGATTCCTGGAGTCTGTGCGCTCTTAAGATGCATGTATAACAAAGGGGTAATAGTAAAGAAGATATTTTGATGAAATTGTTTGCTGCCAATTATTTTGCAGTGAGACAGATTTGAAAAGAATAGTTTGCAGGAAAAATAGCAAAACTGTAAAATTCCTTTTAATAGAAGTGTTTCTTGAATTTCTTTCCTCACGATAAATAAAGAAGAAAGAAAGCTGACTTTAAACATAACCCCAGATACTTGATCACTTTTTTATCCTACCTCCTGTCCAAGTTCTTTTTATTTTCTGTATGCATTTTGATTATAATATTTTTATACTACATTTCTCAGAGAAATGTTATATTTAAAAACAAAAATAAACTGCATAATAAATCAGCTCTTTTCTACCCAAATTATTCCATCTGAGAGAGCTTTCCATGCCTAATAGGGTTTGACCAAGTATCCACAAATGAGCAGTAGAGTTTTTATCAATAGGATAATTTCATTGTGATTAGAATTGAGCAATGTATACCTCATGCCTGGTATGTGGTCTGGTGGTAGAACTGCACTGATCAAATGTGGCATGAAAGTCAGTACCCCCAGATATTCACCTCTTGAGTTACTGCCATCAGATGGACCACTCATTGCACCACCATGCCTACCCTCTGTCATGGGTCAGGAAAGCTGAATCTTAATAATCACCCTTAAACAGATCAGGAAGGATCTAGGTTTGGGTAACAAGACCTCTCTTCTCCCTGGGACTGAGCTGAAGAGCTCCAGGGTAGAAAGTGGAAGAAGAGCAAAGGGGAACAATATGTTTTTAATCTTTTTTGTTGGAAACACAAGGTGGGTTTCACAAAGTTAGACGTAACAATTCAACCAGCTTCCATTATATATTCTATGCTCAGATTTAAGATAGATTCTTGAAAACATGTCTCAGGGGAAATCTGGTTGTATATTTCAGTTCTGTTAAATCCTAACCTGCAACCATTTTTGTCTATTACATGAAGCTCAGTTTTGAGTATTTCAGGGTCAGATTTCATCTCAGAGCAAATGTACTGCTGTGAGTTCCTGCTTCCAGGCAATTCACAAAAGTAATGCCAATTGTAACACACTTATGAACAATGGAAATGTAATGCCACCTAAGTATTAAATTGCTAAAGATATAAAGAAGTGACAGTTCCAAGGCATGGTGAGGGTACGAGGGGTAGTCTCTATTATACGTTACAGAGTGCAATATAACATGGTAAAAATATTTCTGGAAGATAAGTTGATGCATTGTGTCAGTAAAAAATTTATACTTAAAGTAATAATTACCTAAAAATCCCATTTTCCAAGCTATATCCTAAGGAAATAATGTTAATTATAGATCTATATGTGATATACTTATCTATCACAGCAGTGTTTATAATAGTGAAATAATGGAAAATTCACAGAATGTCCCTACAGGTTTTGCAGACATTGAATACTATGTGGCAAAATATATGATGACATGGAAATAGTTTCATGATATATTAAATGAAAAACATCAATTTACAAAATAACACATATAATTCCATCTCATATTTAAAAATTTATATTATATGTAGAGTCGCTCTTGAGATGTATGAGGCCTCAGGGAAAGTTTTGTGAGGGTGACTATCTGTGTAAATATTTAGTCATCCAAATTAGAGTGTCAGCACTATACTGGCTGGTTAATCTCAAGAAATCTGGAGGAAGAAAACTCTGCTGGACTTTTGGAGCAATCTGCTAACTGGACTGCCCTTTGGTAGTGAGTGTCTACCTCTTGGCCAGAAAGTTCCCCATATCCACGAGGCCCAGAGCTTTTGGGGCATCTGGTTGACTCTATGCATGGTGGTGAAGGGAAGCAACAGAGATTTGGAGAATGTTCTACAAGGGGGAAAAATAGGGTCCAGGGCATTTTCTTGAAAAACACTTCCAGCTCTGGATGGTTCCAGATATTGGAAGAGGCCTTAAAGAGAGTTCAGGAAGATGCTTCTTGTAATCATACCCTTGTGAAACTCAATCCCACCTGGACAGTATTGTTGGTCTAATGAGTCTCAATCACCAGAGGAAAAACTGACAATACTAAAGAAGTCCTCTAAAGCTGGCTACAGGAAGGACTGCCTGAAGCATGAAGTCAGGACAAGTGCTCTTCCTACTGGGGCCTAAGGTAACACTGATGACATGTGGACAGAAAAGGACTGGAAAGATAATCGCCGTATTAAGGTAATTATTTCTAATAGTGGGTAGTTATAGTTTCTCTTTTCTGTTTAAATCATTTAACTGTTATTGTACAATTTAAAGAAAATTTTTAAAGGAAAGCTTACTTTAGTAAAGATGAAGAATAAATGTGGAGAAGAAACACCATACCATAGGAGATAATTTTTTTTTCTGTTCTGGGGATCAAACTCAGGACTTTGCACTTGTGAGGCAGGCAGCAGCACCACTGAGCTAAATCCCCGGCCCCAGTATGAGATAAATTTTGAGTGAGAGCATTTCTGGTATATGGTCAACACTGTGGCTTACCTGAACATTTTTCCCAGTCATAGCAGGTGTCATAGCCACAGGATTCTTGCTTTGTGCTATTGGATGCAAGTTTTGTCCTTTCAAGACCCCATTCTAACTGTACACCTTCTTGGCAGGAACCAATATGGAGAAAATGGAGATGTTGACTATTTAAACACTTCTTGGCCAAAAACATACAAGCGGATGAAGTAATGTAATGATTCGAGTCCGTATCAAATACACAGAGATCTTCTGAATAATGACTGCCCAGAAAAGGAAAACAAATACACATTAAGACCAATTGGCATGTAGCAATTTAGTATTTTAACTTACCACCCAGTTTTCTTCTCCAATTCCCTTCAATTTCTCTCTTATTTCCAACAAATTCTCTGTCCTTCATTCAACTTTCATGCTTCTTGAAATTCATTTTTCAAAAATTTCATCTTAATCTTATTTCCAATTGACTTGAAATTGAAGTCTGAAGAATTCAGTTACCAAGATCTTCCAATCAACTTCCTTTCTAGTATTATTTTCTCATTGTACAAAATTCGTCTTCATTATCTGACAGTCACATTATCATTTTCTAAGCTGATAAGATTACTTTTCTTTTGCTGCTACCCCAGTCTTTCTCAATCAGCACTGCGTTGTTTTCCTTCTCTGCCTATCTGTGTCTGGCTAGGTTTCCAGCTACACTTTGAAGCTCACCCAGACCAACACAGCCCATCATCATCTTTATCTCCTCTGATCTCTGAAATTGCTTCTTAGCTGTCATGCTAATTTAGAACATGTCCTGTAGTCTGTATCATTATATAGCTTTTCAGATGCATTTGCACTATAGCTTCTCTCTTGCTGAGAGGACAAGATCCCCTTGATTAATCTAAATATGACTTTCTTCTCCGATGTCAACTTTAGAGTTGACAGTTAGTGCTCTGGTATATAAAACTGTTTCCAGGAACCAAAGTCCATGACTAAGAATAAAAGTCTATTTTCTCTGTTCAGAAAATGTTAGCTGTGGGCTTAGCCACTCCTATAAACATTTTTGACTCCACATAAACAGAGGTATACAGAAAGAGGCTGAAGAGATAGTACAGAGCTGAAATAGGGGAGCAGCCAGTATTCTCAAGATTTGCTATTGCACAGCTAAAAAAGAACCTTCTTTGATCCATACACAATATGAATGCTGTTAGTGATCGCTGGAGGGCTGTCTGCTAGTGAGGGGACTCCAGCAGCAAGGAACTACATTGTGATGGAAATTGAAGTGAGTAGATGAAATTATACAGAAAAGGATCCTATTGTACTCTCCAAAAAATAATATCTGAGTCCCTACAAACATTTGTTCACCTGTAGTACACAGAAATCTGAGAGCCAATCACTGTTAGAAGTGAAATATTCACAAGTGTGCATGGTTGGATTTCTACCCCCAACATCCGTTCCTTCACCTCCTCAGTGACTGAAGTGTAATTTTGTTCAGAATAGCTATGCATCCAAAGTATTTCATTCTTAGCCTCCCTTGCAGATCTGTGTGGCCATGTGAATATGGAAGAAAGTGGTGAGTCTTCCAGAAAAATTTAAAAGAAAGAATATGCCCTATTTTTGGTCTTTCTGCCTTCCAGCTCCATCCAGCAAAGCAGTCTTAGGCCATGAAAAAACTTTGAGGATGGCAAGACAGAGGTGGAAGGAGCTTCAGTCTTATCAGCAATGAGAGAATCACTAGGCTCGCCCTCAACCACTCACCTCAGTATTTATCTCGCATGAGAGAAAATTTTGTCTTAAGTGAACACTGCTTTGGTTTTGTTTTAGATTCAGTTGAAACTAACCATTAAATTAACAGACATTGTTAACATTCTTGAGTTTGTTTGGAAAAGAAGTTATACCAACAAAGAGGAAAGAGCTAACACATGAAAGTCACATAGAGACGTAGAAGTTTTCTTTTCTGTGCTTCCTATCCCCACATGAAAGAACCAAATGCAAAGTGTGTGCGTGTGTGGGTGCGTGTGTGTGTGTGTGTGTGTGTGTGTGTGTGTGAAGCTGACGCTTGCACCATTTCCATTTTCTTTTTTCCAAGCTATTGGAGTTACAACCTTTCCATATATATAGGAAAGGAAAGGAAGACTTTGGTAAAGTCGAGTTTGTAGTCTTTAAGTGGACAAAAATAAGCCTTTAAAACCAAAATAAAACAAAAACCTTTCAAACGTGGGGATCCAGGCTGACAGATAATTTGTGAAATATTGCTACTAAATAATGTGCCTAAGAGGATCATTTACTTGACAGTCAATATGCCTCATGGTTTTTCTTTAAGAAGCTGAGCTTTTCCATTAGGCTCCTTATACTAGACTAGTTCCCCCAATTTGCAAAAGCAGTCCAAGGAGTATCTCTTACCTACAGTCTTCTGGAGACAGACAAATGCATTCTGATCCTGATTGTTTTTGTCCTGGTTGACAAGGGCCTTTTAATTTTGTCAGTATATCTGAAACGAAATAAAAGGCAAGCACAGTACACAGCATGGATTTCTAGAGATAAGCTAGAATTTAGGAGAAGAGATAGTCGCCAAAGATTTTCATTTATATCCTGGAGTTAGAACATTCATTTTGGCTTCTCCAAATATGTTTTCAGGAAATTTTCCACTTGAAATGTCCTTTCTAGATCACACACATTGCCATTTTCCAGCCTAAAATTGTTAAGTTCAGAACTAAAGAAAAGAAAATTGGTGAAATGATTGTTCATTTTTTCTAAACATTTATTGAACATATAGTTTTCCCAGCACTCCTCTAGGTTTTGGGAACAATGGATGGAGCAAAATCCTGATTCTGTGCTTACAGAGTTTATAGTCTTGCGTGGGCAGACAGCCTGATTAAACAAACACATGAATACATCTAGAATTCCTGCCATTTTTAGTGCCATTAAAGAGAAAGCATATAATCAAGAAAAATGGTATATCCTAAAAGCTTAGGCTTGATAAAATGGGGGAAAAGAGAGAGATTGTCTGAGGCAGAGGGAACATCAGGTATGAGAGTGTTCAAAAGGGAGTAGCACGTGACTTTCCTGGAACTGAGAGAAAGCTAGCCTGGTTAACATGCAGAAAAATGAAGCATGTAGCAGGATGTGGTCTGAGAGCTAAGTATGTGGTGGGCTGTGCATGATTTGATAGGGCTTTTTCCCGTCCATTTCCTAAGCAGAGTAGGTGTCCTATGGGTTTAGGCAGCGCCCAATGTGATAAAATCAGGTCTTGAATTTGAAAAGGAAATGAATTCTGGTTTCTGAACAGGGCATAGATTTGCATAGATTTCCCATAGAGGCATAGGAATTAAGAGAGATGTGGCAAATGATCTATGGGGTTATGATAGTAATTCAGGTGAAAGAGTTGGAGATTTGGATCAAGGTGCAAAAGTGGAAGTAGAAAAAAGTGAATACACTTGAGAAATATATAATAGGTTCAAACAAATGTATTACATATTTTGGTGAATTATGAGGATGATCAGGTATGATTAATGTTTCTGGTTGGCATAAGAGAAAATACTAGAAGATGCTTAGTTTTAGGGAGGGTAGTTCTCCATACTTGTTAAATTTATGGTATCTTTAAGACACCAAAGCAAAATAAATATAGAGGAATTTTTATATGTATATTTAAATTTCATTTGAGAAGTCTGTGGTAAAAATTTAAATTTATTAGTCTGTGAGGGAGTCAGTGAGGCTATAAATGTGAGTAGGATTCCCTAGCAGGAGAGTGAAGCAAGAAGTGAAGGGCCAGATCTGAACTTCAAGAAATTCCAGTGTTTAATGTCCTAGTGTGGGCAGCAGCTCACTCCAAACAGAGGGCAACAGCCGGAGAGGTAGCAGTGATTTCCTGAGGGTAATGACTTGAAAATTAGATTTTCTTGCAAGAAGAATCAACCGGAAAATGCAACACTTAAATGTAGTTATTCATCCCTGTATAATGTGCTATGTGTTAGAATATTCTAACACTTAGAATATTATGGTGAGGAAGGAAGGAAGAAAGGAATGAAGGAAAGAAGGAAAGGATGGAGGAAGGAGACACCAAGGAAAAGAAGGAGGATAGGGAAGTGGTAAGGGGGTGTATATTGAGGAAAAGAGAAAATAGCAGTGGTCTCTTTTTCATGAATCTATAGAATAATAGGAAAACAGATATTAATCAAATAATGTAATAATGGATTTTAATGAAAGGCTGAGACAAGTCTTTTAGGACTGGGAACATGGTTTCAGAAGATCATATACCAAAAAGACCCCTACTGGGAAAAGTAAGGAAAGATCAATAAAGAAATGATGCTTGAATTCAGATGAGAAATTGAATAATGAGCATGTGAGGGAAAGAAATTAAATAAAGAGGGAATGCACTTGGGGTATATTACATGTAAAGAGAAGCTTTAGTTATCTTTGTTTACAATGAGACCAACCCAAAGGGCCTTTAGTCTGGGGAGGTAGGACCCAGAGCTAACTTCCCCAGCATGTTGGATCAAACACACTGCATCACTCTGGATCTGACTACACAGGCTCAGGATGGCCTTTGTGAGCAACTTAATTGTCAGGGGAGGAAATAAGCAGCCATATGTAGATATTTTCACAAATCACATGGCAGAATGGGAGACTCAGATCATAGCTTCTTTTCTTTGTGTAAAGGTATAAAAGAAGGTTTAATGAAGAAGGAAGAGGGCTTTGTTAGAGTAAACAATAAAGATTCTAAAAATACATAGATTGTCTTCATTGCTGTTATTTCCATTGCCTACTCTTAGCCTCTGTTAGGACTCTCATTCTGTCTGGTGAAGTTCGGCCTAGAACCTTCACAATGTGGAGACTTGTAGTTCTGGTAAGTCTGCTAAGATTTACGCTGACATGGGATTAGTTTTCCTTGGTATCTTAGACAGTTAAGTTTCTTTTCCCTTTGTAAATAAATCCAAACCTAAGTCAGGGAGAAGCCCCAAACTATGCATTGTTTCTACAGAGAATGAGCTTTCAAGTGGCACAGAGCACTGTTGTGTAGCTACTGGCTTGAAATAGTGATCACATGCAATGGTTCTTTGGTCTCCCCAAAACCTCAGGCTGAAGCTGTTCTGGTACTGAGTTACCCACAGTGGGCAGCCCAAGGCAACCTGGAAATAAGAACGTTCTTTAATCTTTGAAGTGAGGAGAGCAAGAGGATTTTCTGAGGTGCTGTTGCGTTGTCAACAGTTCTTAAGGACTAAAGTGGAAGAAAGTGGCACAGCATCTCACTTCATCATGGGCAGAAAATTTTCACATTGAAAGAATTAAAAGTGTTTCCTTGGCCAACTAGTCTCTTTACCTCACCATGGCCAATTTTTGTGGATGATTGTCTTTTACTTTGTCTCCTCTCGTTGGTCTTTATGTCAGTAATGTTGGAGAGAAAGTATATGAGATAGGATATTTAGTTGAAGTGTAGGATGGTTTATATTGGGTTATAATTTCCCTTTCTTATCCAAGGACAGAGCCTTACATGTGGGTGGTGAGTGTGTGTGTGTGTGTGTATGTGTGTGTGTTTATGTGGATTCATAAACACTCTCAATAAGAAGATACTACCTATGGTGTCTAGAGGGTCCTAACCTTCCGAAACCTACAATTTCTAAACACATACAGAGCTCTGACATTTATATTATGTATCATTTGATATTATTATCAAGAGACTCATGGATCCAAGGTATCATTATTAAACCGAAGTTCTTACCACTTCCCATGAGAACTCTTTCTCAATAGTTCTACTTAAAGTTATTCTAAAGACTAACATTTTCCCAGCCTTCACACATTATGAAATCTCAGGGATGAAGAAAGAAGCAGGATGGCAAAGAGTTTAGGGAATTAGCAGAGCTGTTGCTTAGCTCCTGTTTGATCCTGACTGTTCAACCTTGTGTCAAGTTAGCCTCTCTGTGCCTCTGGTTTTTCTATATGCAAAATGAGCTTAATCGTATGTGGCCTCAGATACCCTCTCAAGGTTTCTCTTTAAAAATGAGATATTATTTGAACAAGTATGTTGGAGATTTTGGAAGATATTGATTAACAGATACTCTCTCCACCACAATCAAATGTCCTGCCAGCTGCCTGTCTCACACTGATCTTTCACAGCATATGGGCTATTCTCGTTTAAAGCTCCACCCTATATCCTTGCACCAGTAGACTGTTTGCTGAGGGTGAGGTATCCTTGTTTACAAATCTATTTATGCCAGTTATAGTTGTTATTGTATAAGTTGATTCAGTACCTAAGCTGACAAAATAAGAGAAAAAATGCCGCTTTAAAAATAAAAACTAAGATGAAACTTTGATCAATTAATTAAAAATGGTTTTAAAAATTGGTTTAGAATTAGTTGTTGATCAAACCAATGAAAAGACTTAGGTAGAAAAATATATGAAAACTCTACCTTGTCCTCTATTATATTTGTTTAAAAATATTTGTAACTTTTCTTTTCAAAAATAGTGTTTCTCTGGAAGCAGTAGGAGTGCAAATTTGAAGTCAGCCTGGGCAATTTAGTAAGACCCTGTCTCAAGATAAAAAATAAGAAGGGCTGGGGATGTTGGCCAGGGGTAGTCACTGGGTTTTGTCTCCGGACCCCAAAAAACAAACAAGAAAAAACAAAAACACAAACAGAAGAATACAATATTTCTCAACTCTAAGTGCATAACGGAATTATATAGGAGAGTTTTTCTTATTTTGTTTATTTTAGTTAAAAACTTTAAATCTACACATAAAAATTGTACATATTTTGGGGTACCATGTAATCTTTATATATTGTATAATGTTCAAATCAGAGTGCATAAATCTGTCTTTTCAAAAATGTATTATTTATTTGTAATTAAAATATTCAAAATCTTTTCTAGCTAGTAGAGTTTTTAAACAACTATCAAACTCTGAGCTCTTTTCAGCTCACTGACTCCAGAGTTTGAAGGACAGGGCTCAGACAAGTATTTAGTTCACCATCTAAATCACTAGTAACCCATATTTTAGAGAAGCTACAACAAGGAAAAACAGATGATGAATTGAGCTTGTTTTATTCAGAGAACATCTGAAATTTTCTGCTTTAGGTAATAATAAAATGCCTCATTATATGTTTACTACATTTTATGGCTTTCCACTTGAACCAAGAATTTCTGATCTTATTAAAGGAGAAATCTTGTACTCCTAAATATTAGAGTTTTATAGTGGAAAAGAAAACTGAAGTCACCCTTTAAAATTTGAGGCCATTATTTGCGGCCTGACTTTATTATCTTCACAGAATAGAATATAGCCTGATAGTCCAGTGGATTCTTCTGCTTTCTCCCTCATAATTGCAGCTAAGAAACAAGATCTCTTTAGAAGATTGGTATACTACCAATTTCAGGGAACCCAATTTTACTAGAATCTCAAATCCTGAGCTGTCACTCACCTTTTTCACAGGTAAGTGATTCTGAAATGGGTGGTGTCCAGGAATTCCCCTTGCATGTGTACCTGGATGGGCCAGCAACCATAAAGCCTTTGGGGCAAGTCAGTTCAATGGATTCACCAATTCTGTATACTCTCTGAAAGGAGGAGAGCGTCAGCATTTCTGGTATAACTGGCTTGAGGCATGCCATTTCTGCATGGGGAGCAACATTTGAGATGTGTTAGTGAAGCAGGACACTCAACAAGCCCAGGCAGATTAAATGTTACCCAAGAGGTGACCTGAATGGGATTCACTGTATTTGTTCAGCTTTGACACCTCCTTCTAATTCAGAAGCCTCAGGGATAAGGATCCTCTGCTTCACCTTAGAGAGTCCTCCATTGACACCACCCTTCAGTTCTCTTATCTGATGTTCCTTTCCTAAGGAACTGGCTTCAGATTTAACTTCTCTAATGTCATTGGGACCTTTTTCTTCCATGAAATAATTTCCTTTCTTCCTCTACCTTTTGGGCTCTTCCAAAAGCAAATTACCACAGTGTGAGTGATACCAAGACAGGATGTTCTAATTGACCCTGGATTCTATTCTGCTTCAAGGTTCCCCATAGTAAGGTTTTGAAATCCCAATTTAAGCCTTGTTTGCATCTCCAAGTTTTATGTACTGTGGCAAGGATCCACACAGGGCCTTCATGCTTATTCATTGATTCTCAGCAGAGGATGTAAAGGTGCTCCAAGGACTAGTGATCTGGAGAAAACTAAGTTTCACATAAAATCCTATTTCTGATATATAAAGAGTCTAAGTGCAATCTTCTTGGGTCTCATCAATTTGTACACCAGGGAAAGCAGATGTCTGTGGTTAGACAGAGTTTGCAGGCTTCCTGGATTTCTTCCTAACAGCATGGTTTGCAGTGCTATGTGTCTGAGGCTAATGGGCAGGAGCAGGAGAACTGAAATATGATGTTTTAAATCTAATTTTAGCAAACAAGCTCCATTTACTGCTTCACTAAATCTTTTCACCATAGTTACTAAAAAACAGTAAAATGTACTGATCTGAGTGTGGGTGTGATTTTGCCCCAATTATGTGGGGCACATTCATTCTGCAGAGCAGTTACACTTAATGTTTTCCCAGTTCTCACGCTGGCATTCCATGTCTCCTCGCCTCCAGGTCCTGTCTGGTAAGCAAATGAAGTACTGGTACCCAACAGGTTTGAATCCAGTTAGGCATGAAATTTCAACTTCTTCCCCAACCGAGTATAGTTTCTTTTCATTCTAGAATTGAAACAGAAAACTGGAAAATTATTAATCATATAAATAATCATCTCTAAACATCTCAGGATCATTCTGGATTCTGCCCATTCTGTCAGAACCCTCAGTACAGAGTCTTCTCAAATTCTACTCTATACTTCCTCAAAGCTCTCTCCACTGTCTTTGTTCAGTGGATTTATTATCTTTTACCAGGACAACCTTCTAACTGGTTGCTATTTGAATCAATTTTTCCATTTTGCTGCTCTAAATTGATTATAATTTTTTAACTTAAAACTTGCTTCTCACATCTACTCTGTTAGATTAAAAAAGCTATATACTCAGCTTATTGTGTCTATGAATGTAATAATGTGTCCTACACATACATTAAACAGATGCAGTTGTTACTGTGACTGATTGACTACAGCTCATTTAAAAATAATACTCAATTCCTAATAATCCATTGGTCATCATATATTTTCCCAGTTAATGACTAAAGTACTATTGTCACTTCGGGAGTTTAATAAAATTTTCAAGATAAAAATGGGCCATACATTTCACAGTTTGGAATATTAGCTTTAGTCTACTTTACCATCCTCACTTGCTGCCATTTCTTCTCATAAGCCTACATTTTAGTGGAACACAGCCATTTATCATTCTCTGAACATCATATTCTCTTTCAGTGTCTCTTATGTCTTCACTCTTATGTCTTATATCCTCAACACCTTCTCTTTTCCTTTCTCTCAAGATGTAGCTCAAACAGAACATCTTCTGTGAAAATATCCATGACTTTTCCAGCTTTACTGGCTACACCATGCTTTCAGTTCTAAGAGCAACTTGTACAAAATTCTATTTTTATAGTATTTAATCACATTTATCAGCCATGACACTTGAGTGGCAACTCCATAATCCAACCTATGAGTAGTGATCAACATATATGGTGAATGTTTACATTCAAAATTATTACAGTAAAAGTCACATTTCAGTTTATCCCTCTCATAATATCTCCTCTTGCTTTGAGCACACTTACCCCATTATTTTTGTCATTTTCTTGAGCAGTTCTGAATTCCCCTTTTGTGAAAGCCTTTGAGGTGTGACAAAAAATAAGGTAAATGTTGCTGCCAAGTGCCACCCAAAGGAAAGGCAAGTTCATGGGCTCTTTCCCAAAGTCAAATGACCATGAAAGGTAAATGTTTTGAACTGATTAAGGACATTGAGACAGCCACGATAGCATGAGAAAAGACACCGATGGAAGAGGACTTCCAGAACTGCTTCAGAAAATGACAAAAATGATGGGATATGTGTCTTTGAAGAGAGAGGGAATATTTTGAGGGAGATCCACAGCAATGTATCTTTTTTTTACTGCATATGTCTCACAAATATTTACACAGGCCTTGATAACTGCAACTATACGAAACACTACATGGTGGGCTAGTAATGTATTGCTCTCTTCTGTTACACATAAGCCTCATGAATGGTTGAAGACCATGATCTTGATAAAAGGGTAAGTTCTTCCCACCCTTCTCTTTTTTTGTCCTCTGTACACTCACTTGCCCTTTTACCATTTTATGACACAGCATGAAAGCCCTCGTCTTGGGCCAATGTTGTGCTCTCGGGGTTCTCAGACTTCAGAACTGTGAGCTAAATACATCTCTGTTCTTTATAAATCACCCAGTATCATAAAGAACAGCATTTTGTTATAGTAGCAAAAAACTGGATAAGACACACATAATAAAATTTTGTAAATAAGTCAAAAGATTAATGAAATACTGTTAAGGCCTTTGTGTGTTTTTAAAAATAGAATAATAATTTTAATAGTTCTTGCATGTAGTTGACATCAATAGATTAAAAGTTACTTAGGGTTGTATCTGACAAAATGTAATTTTGAGGATGACATTCTAAGGCAGGGACTAGCAAACTTTTGCTATAAAGGGCCTGGATAATTAGTTGCAGGCCATAAGGAGTCTGTTGCAATAATTTACCTCTGCTATTACTGACTGACAACAGCCACAGATGATATGAATATATCAATGTAGCTGCACTGCAGTAAAACTTTATTTAAAATTGTAGAAGACCTCATCTGACATTTAGGTTATAGTCTGCAGAATTTGGTTCTAAAGGATTACTTCCCAATGTGTGACTCCTGATCTAGCAGCATCGGTAGTATGTGGGAACTTGTTACAGACGGAGATTTCTGAGCCTTACTCAAGACCTACTGAATTAAAAACTATGGGACTCAGTGATCAGTGCTTTAACAAGCTCACTAATGGTTTGGTTTGAGAATCTCTGTTTTAGAGTAGCCTAATTGAAATTACTTCCCTCCAAAATACTTCCTCCCCTTCAAACTTTTAGGCATAACACAGAACTTCTAACTTTTATAGCATCACATCTTGTACATTTTATACATGGGCAGAAGACAGATGAATAGGAACCACACCTTAACACAGACTGTGGTCCATGGATATTTATGTACTGGCACTGGAGAATTGAGTGCTTTTGATCTTTGACCATAACTATGATACAGTTGGAAAAATATTAATGTAAAGGTTTTACTAGGTTTAAGAAATGTAAAATGAATAGAGACCTTGTGTTCTGTGATCAATTTTAAGTATTATGTACCCCCTGAAAGATTTATGTCTAAAGCCATAGACATGTTTGACAATAAGTATTCCATTTTTATAAAAAACATAGAAATATATTGTGGTTTAATGAAAAAAGATTAAATTCAAAAGTACATTGCAAAGAGATCATTACATTGAGAACTATAGCACTCTGAAAAAAGAGATCAAAGAGGATATAAGAAAATGGAAAGACATCCCCAGTTCCTGGGTAGGAAAAACCAATATAGTGAAAATGGTCACACTTTCAAAACTGCTATACAGATTCAATGCAACCCTGACTGAAATCCCAACAGTATATTTCATAGAACAAGAGAAAATAATCCAAAAATTCATTTGGAAGCAGAAGAGACCTAGAATAAAAAAGCAATTCTAGGCAACACAGACATGGCAGGGGGTATCACATCCCCAACTTGCAACTATACTATAAAGCTACTGTGATAAAAACAGCATGGTACTGGCAAAGAAACAGACCCAAGGATCAGATGAGAAGATGCAGAAACAACTCCAGACATACTCAACTACCTCATTTTTGACAAAGGAGCCAACCATCCTTACTGGAAGAAAGATAGCCTCTTCAATAAATGGTGTTGAAAAAATTTGGTTTCAACTTGCCAAAGATTAAAATTAGACCCCTATCTTTCACCATGCACTAAACTAAAATAGAAATGGATTAAAGTTTTAAATATTAAAACAGAAACACTGAACTGGCTGGAACAGAGGTTAGGTAGAACTCTTGAAGATATTGGTGTAGGAAAAGATTTTATGAACAAATCCTCAGTAGCATGGGAACTAGCACAAAGAATCAACAACTGGGATCTCTTTAAAAAGCTTCTGCACTGCAAGAGAAACCACCAACAGAGCTAAGAAACAACCTACAATGCGGGAAAAAACTTTTAGCAGTTGTACCTCAGACTACCATCTAGAATTTATAAAGAACTGAAAAAAAATCAGACCCTCCAAATTTAAAGACCCAATTAAAAATGGGCATCTGAAATGAACAGACATTTCTCAAAGAAGTAAAAGCATCAAATAAACATATGAAAAAATGTTCAACATCACTGGTCATTCGAGAGGTGCAGATGAAAACAACACTGAGATTCCACCTCACCCCAGAAAGAATGGCTGCTATCAAGAAATCAACCAATAACAAATGCTGGTGGGGGTGTGGGGAGAAAGGAACCCTTCTCCATTGTTAGTGGGAATGGAGACTGGTGCAACCACTGTGGAAATCAATATGGAGATACCTCAAAGAACTAGTATTAGAGGTCCCATTTGACCCAGCTATTCCTCTGCTGGGTATCTTGCCAAAAGAATTAAAAGAATCATACCACACTGATATAGGTGCACCCATGTTTATAACGCCACAGTTTGTAATAGCTATAACTTGGAAACAGCCCAATTGCCCATCAACTGGAGACTGGATAAAGAAGATGTGTGTGTGTGTGTGTGTGCGTTTTATAAAATGCAGTACTACTCAGCCATAAAGAATGAGAAACTAGAGACATTTATAGCTAAATGGATGCACATTGGGTTCATACTCTTAAGTGAAATAAATAGGACACATATGTGTAAATACTGAATAGTTTCTCTGTGAAAAACTAAAAACTGTAAAACTAAAAGTGTGTGTGAAAAACTAAAAGTGTAAATAAGGATCAAAATGTATAATTGATAATGTGAAATAGGAAGAAAAGGTCTAAAGGATTAGGGGAAGTGGGAGGGGTAGGGGAAAGGAAGAAAGGGAAAAGAAAAAAATATGAAAAAAGGAAAAAATGGAAACAAAGTCTTTGAAAATAGGGAATGGTGGAGGGGTTGAAGGGAGGGCAGGGGAATGGGAAAAAATAAGAAGCAATATACATCATATAAAGGTACGAGATCCCAATGATGAATGTAACTGTATTGTATACCTAAAAGGTACCAATAAACTTAATGGAAAAAATTACATTGCAATTGTATTGTGTACTTAAGAGTTATATAAATTTGCAATCTAATAAGACAATACAGACTCAACATCTCCTGTGATTTTAGCCAAGTATGGTTTATTTCTCTGAATACATGCCTTAAATAAGGACATTGATTTGCACAAACTCAGAAATAAAGACCATAGTTACACCTAGATCATAGTTTCAGATTTTTACAAGTTATCAAAACATATTATGCTGAAGTTCCAATCTCTATTCACACTAATATGTCATCATTATATGAATTAAGTGTTCCTCATACCATAAATCACCTGCTTCTGCCCTGTGACTGAACAACCAGGTATGATGACATTTCCAGAAAAGTCAAGATTAAAGCAGGGCAAAGCATTTGTAAATATTACCTGGCATTTTTTAAGTTCACAAAAGATGATTAAAATAGAAAAACAATAACTCTAATTAGAAAACAAATCAATATTTTTCAAGTTCATTTTTTGAACTCCCAAACAAAAGTGAAGGTCAGGATGCTTACCCAGATAAATCCATTTTCTGGAAGAACAGGTGGAGAACACCCTGAATCTGCTTCTGTCTCAGGAAGATCTACCTCTCTCATCTCTTCATCATCACTGATACATGGCTGACCACTAAAAGGCAAAAATAAATGTGTGTATATATTAATATATATTCATATGCACAATCTGTATGCATATACATATATCCATGTTGTATATACATTAAATAGAGAGAAAACATTATTTTCACAGATAAAGATAACAGCAGACTCAATGCCTCACTAAAATGCTATGTTGGCATAGGTAAAATTCTAATTATTTCTTTACTTGGCAATTGATGATAACGTGTTGGAACTCTCCATGTCATTGGGAAAATGACTCGGTCTGTTTTCTTCCCCAACCTTACCTATTTTCCATTATTGAAAAGGTGCAGTCCTCCTCTTGCTGCTCCTCCCCCTCACAGTATCTGCCTCCTTGTTGGGGGGCAGGGTTATTGCACAGTCGGGTTCTTGATCTCTTATAAGCAGCACTGCACACACTCCAGGAAGACCAGCAGCCCCAGTTCCCATCTACTGAATCTGGAAGAAAGAAAGACTCTCTTCTATCATGGAGCGTATGAGAGATTTGAGCTTTGAAGTCAGGCCAACCTAGTTTCCTCACTTCTTAGCTGTGTGACCTGTTTTGTAGAATATTATAAAGTTAGAGTGAGGAATAAATGATACTACTTGTGAGAGGGGTTTGAACATTGCCTGATTTCTTTTCCTGTTCCCAAAGGCCTGAATACTATGGTAAAAATTATGAATCATTTTTAATATTAGAAATAAACACATATGCATGTACATCTAGAATACATGTACACATATGTGTAAATATGAATGTCATCTGAGTAGAACATACATAAAATTATTTTTATTTATTTATTTATTGCTTAAATTCTTTTATTGGTACATTTTAGGTATACAATACGTTTGCATTTATTATTGGGTGCTTGTACCTGTACATGATGTATCTTGGTTCTTATTTTTTCCCCATTACCTGTGCGCCCTTCACCCCACCACCCTTCCCTATTTACATACTTCATTTCCATTTTTTTTCTTTTCTTATAAGTTTTGCTTTCCATTCTTTCCTTTCCCCATCTCCTCCCACCACCCCTACCCCTTTGGACCTTTTCCTATTTCAAAATATTAATTATTAGTTATTCATCCTTTTAATCCTTATTTACACTCTGAGTTTCTCAAATTATTTTTGAAGGTAGTAGAATTCATTCTAATTTCATATCTCATCCTCTTTTAAGCAGAACTTGAAGTAACAATGAATGGTACTTAGTCTTATACAAAAACTCTGGTCATGGTTTAACTGATCCCTTATTACAAAACCATCCCCCTTTTACATTATAGTACATATGAAGTTTATAATAACAGTGTCATTATTTTATAATATGTTTTAATTTATTCAGCTAGTAATGTTACAGACACTATGCTATATTAGGTATTTTTACATACTATAAAACAGGTAAATAAATACATACATATTTTAATCCTCACGTATATCAAAAATATAATTGTTTTTCTTTAATTATATGGTTGAATGATTGTGGCATAGAGAGGTTAAATAGCTTTTCCAGCATCCCATAGCTGGTAGGTTATAGCTCAGACTAACACCAATGTTTTTCAGCTTAAGAGTCTGTCTTTTTGAAGGTTTATTTATGAATTTGTCTAGGGTAGAGGTTGTTAATAAATTTTGCTTTAATTGAACAACCTAGAAAGTCTTTTGGAGGGGGAGAATGCTTACCCAAGATAGACTACTGGTACTCACCAGATTTATAATCCGGAGACCGCCTCTCGCAGTTCTCGCCATAGGTCCCACTCTGACACACACACAAACATTCGGTGCCTGAGAGGGTGGGACGGCCATTATTTGGACACGGAGCACAATGGCAAGGGTCAAACTTGGCTGCGTATTCTTGAAAAGCTTTCCTGAGATTGTTCCGTTTTGTCACCGCACAGGGCATGTTTCTGACCAAGTTTGTGATGGGAGCAAGCTAAGAGCAGACAACAGAGAGGAGGCCCAGTCACATGCCTTTGGGCAATATCCGACCATTACTGCACTGGCTCAATTTCATGGAATGAGGCGTACGGACCAGAAGAGGTCATACTACAAAGGAATTATTGTGCAATGAAGAAGAGCTGCTGTTGAGCCAGTAGGGAAAGTCTCTCTATCAAAAGGCAGTGCATCCTACTTGGAACTGACCTTCTCTGCAGCTGTACTGTGAAGGAAGCCAAATGTGAGGGATTGCTTAATTTGACTAGCATCAAGTATTTATTAAGTATCAAATGCATGCCTCAGAGTTTGGAGGTAGGTGACCAAGAGTCAGGCAAATCATTAATGCTCTGTTGAAATGTCACTAAGTTTGATTCAAGCAGAAAAACTCAAAGGATAAAGGCTTGCCTTGTTCTTTGTTTTTCTGGGGATAGCATTGGCTTTTGATGGAAAAAAAAAAGTAAAGTGAGGCAAATGGATCAATGACCTTTCCAGTAAGATGAATTTTAGTAACAAATAATAGAGCTAAGAACAACAAAATAAAATCAGTACTTATTTTATTAACATTCTAAAACAGCATAGAAATGATTATCTAGTACAGCATATGATTTAAAAGGCTGTGATGGACAGTTGGGTCTCATTTTTCTACCATAACTTGTGTAGTTAACTCAATATATTTTCATACTAGATGTAAATGATTCTATTTTTATAATGATTGAGCTCCTTTATCTTCACTTAAATTAACTAAACATAATAACTTTTTGAAGGCCTTTTAAAATGTGATTATGTTCTATGGAAAGCTAATTCTAAATTGCATATGATTGATATGTGGGCAAATTATTACACAAATACAAAATCATCTTTTTATATAATTAAAATAAATACAAAACTTGCAAACTGAATCAATAGGGACAGAAAAAGAAAATCAAATGGAATTTCATACATGCTATGGATTCTAAATACTCCCAGAATGCTTGTTTGAATACTAAAGGCAATAGATGATTAAAAATAGGTATATTGTGCAAGCACATTAAAAAGAAATATTTCTTTTGTCATCTGAGAAGAAAATTGTAAAGAAATTGTACAATGTGTAATTTTGGCTGCTAGAAAACTACTTTAGCTCTCTTACTTTTGATGCTTTTTAATCTTACCTCAAAGTCAATCACAGCAGGATTTTCCTTCACTGATTCTAACCACTCAGAAAGTACTTTCTCATCTGGAACAGAGTTTCCTTTCTCCCATGCCAAAGCTGCTGCGTAACTGCTCTTCCCACCTCGAACCAGGGATATGGATTTCTCTGCTTTCTGCAAAAATGAACCTGCAAGGTGTTTCAAGAAAATTGCCCATTAATTTTATTAAAAATTCATATTTTGAAGAAAATCCCATATGCACAGGACAGAGAAGTAGATTGTACAGATATGTAACTTCCATAAGCAAGCTAAATGGAAAAGAAAGAAAACATCATCTTAGGGGTTTAATATCGGAAATTATAACAGTAATAACACTACTATTTATTAAGCATATAGTATATGTTGGCAATTTACACACATTTTTCTTATATAATTCTCATAGCAACCCTAAGAAGTTGATATATGTTCAAATGTAGATGTTGAAGCTGAAATTAATTTGTCCTGGAATAGGCTAATAAGATGTAGCATTGGTACGCAAATTCCACCTAGCTCTTGACTACTTTGCTCTTCACTATTTGATGCCAACCTGCCAGATTTTGATTTATATTAACCTAAGTCCTTGGACTCCAGAATAACATAAACCACATAGCATCTAATATTCAGTCAACTGACAGCCATGCCAGAAACTTGCACTTGTAGACAAAAATGATAGAATGCTTTTACATTTAAAGAAGGGGAAAAGCATTCTAACACTTTTGGGAAGATAGTAAGGAGCAACAAATCAACCTCTTCAAGATTTAGAATGCAGTTACTGGAAAATAACAACTTGATGAAGAAGGAGGGAGGTGGTTCCCTGGGACCCAGGAGGGATCTAAAGGGAAAATTGGAGCCCACAGAGAAAGTTAAGAGACAGACCTCAATGCAGAAAAAGGAAAGGGGCAAACTGCACTTGCTCCCTGGCTTCTGGCTTGTGGCATGAGGTATGAGGATCAAATCAACAGAGACACAGTAAGAGCAAGTGATTCCAGAGGCCTCCAGGGAGAAAAACATCAGTGGAGCAGAGCAGTGGATGCTATGTGCTACAAAAGCTGGTGAGTGACTCCAGCCCAAGTGACTGCCATGTCCCATGGAGAGGGTGATGGGCTGGACCTCATTTTAGGGAGGGGCCAGCTGAACCTGGGGCTCAGAGAAGCCAGGGGTTGGCTTCACTCAGGGCTCCCAGTGTTAAAGTCTCACAGTGGCTGGGTGAGGGACAACCACAGGAGACGTCCAGGGTCAGGAGGCTATGGTCAGGCCAAGAGACACCCAGAGTGCTGTAGGTTGAATGATTCAGCCCCCATCCCCATGACCAGAGGACAGGATCAGCCAGAACTTCTGCTGATTTGAGAGTACTAGAATCAGCACCCCACCCTAATCCTACTGCAGGCTGCTGAAATTATCCAGCACAGATCTGGTCTCTGACTGCCTCCTTTGTCTACTAGCAACAGCAGAATCATGGCCTGAATTGGACACTACCACAAAACTGTAGACCTCAGAGGATAAGTACAGGCTTGAAATCATGAGAAATCTCTTTTTTTTTCTTTGTTTTTGGGTTTTTTGTTTGTTCTTTTTTATTGTTTTTGCTATTCACGAGTGTAAACATTGTTTTATTTTTTTGTTTTGTTTTATTCCTGTTTTTTCCTTCTTTCTTTCTTTCCATTTGTCTTCTTCACCAATTTTCTGAGGCTTGGGTAATATTCCTTTGTCCTTCAGCCTTGCTCCTAATCTTTTTCTCTTTTTTGTTTCTGTATTTTTCCTCTTATCCCTTTTAAATATTCTCCCCTTATGGTAAAATCACTGTATTGAGTAGATATTTACTCTATATAAATTTATGATTTGTCTTAGATTTTGTTATATAACTAAAAAATCTTGTACCTATGGTTAAAGATGGCAAATCATTATTTATCACAGCTTGTCATTTTCTGGTTTGTTCTTGATATTATTGTTATTACTGATTGCACTACTTTAGTCAAGGTGGCATAGTCGTTGTGGCCCATAGATCTTCCTTATATGCTGATATCTAGATTGTCTGGGGGTCATAAACAATATTATAATCTAGTACCAAAGAACTGGGTAGTAGGCCAAATGGGCACCAACTTTTCATCCCTAATAAATTGAATAGGCAGGATCTTGGGACAGACTAAAAAGCCAAAAGCCAGCTACACCTAGAAGACATCTGTGAAAAGTAATCATTTCCTGAAGGAGTCTTGATACTAGTAATAAAGCTACCTACCACAAGCAGTTTATAAGCCTCAATCCAGAAAACAAATAAATAACAAAAAATAGAAAATGAAAAAACACAGAAGCGGGATGCAACCCATAATCCACAACTTGCCAAAGGGAAATCAAGGGGGTATTGAGGTGGAAGAAATAAAAAATCTCTCAGCTGAATTTTACAAAATGGTTGCAGTAGAAGTAACAAAACAGATCCATAAGTCTCTTGACAAAAAAACTCCCCAGAGATAATTAAAGAGATGATAGTGATAATGAAGGAAATTAGTGAATCTAGAATAGATACAAATAAAAAAATAGAGGCGCTTAGGAAAGACATGGAAACCATGAATTCCCAACAAAGAAAAGAACTGGATTCCATAAAACCTACTCAAACAGAAACCCAGGAAATTAAAACTTCTACTACAAGTATATGCAGCAGGGTCAATCAATGTGAAGATGAAATCTACAAGACACAGTTGTAGTTGGTGATCATCAAATGAAAGACCTCTTAAAAATAGCAAAGGGCCACAAAAAAATCAATCCAACAGCTGCTACATAATGCAAAGAAGACTAATATAAGATTAATTAGAATCGATGAGAAATTAGAAGATATCACAAAGGGCATGAAAAATCTGTTCACTTCTTGAAATCTGTTCACTTTCTGAAAACTTCCTAAAAGCATGGAAAAAGAACTTGAGATATAGAAAAGTGAGGCATATAAAACTCCGAATAGTCATGATCAGAAAAAAAATCTGTATCAAAGCATATGAGTCAAGATTCCAGAATTTCAACAAAGAGCAGAATATTAAAAGCTGTTAGAGAAAAGAAATCACTTATAAAGGAAAACCCATCATAATTACATCAGACTTCTCAACACAAATCTTTAAATTAAGGAAAGCTTGGAAAGAAGTCTTTCAGGCCCTACAAGAAAAGAACCTCCAACCCAGATTGATGTACTCCACAAAATTATCTTTCATAATTGATGGAGAAATAAGATATTTCCATGATCAAGTACACCTGAGGAAATTCAGGACAAGGAAACCAGGACTCCAAAAACTTCTGAAGGGCATTCTACAAAAAGACAATGAAGACAATAACTCCATGAATCCTAATATAATGAATATACCAGGCAAGGCAAGCAACTAAACAGAGGAGAAAGAAAGGGAACAAACAGGAAAATTTATGACAAGGATAAGTCAATACATATCAGTTATAATCATCAGTGTAAATGGTCTCAATTCAATCAAAAGATTGGCATAATGGATCAAGAAATAACATCCAACAATATGGTGCATGCAAGAAACACATTTAATTCACAAAAAAATTTAGACTGAAAGTCAAAGGATAGAAAACAATACTCTATGTGACAGGAACCCAGAAAAAAGCAGATTTGCAAAGTGGATTTCAAGCCAAAAATGATCAGAAGACACAAAGAAGGTCATTACATACTTGTGAAGGGAACAATCCAAGAGGAAGAGATAACAATCATAAATATATATGCACAAAATACTGGTGCACCCAACTATAAAAAACAAACACTAATTAATATGAAAAATCGGATGAGCATTAATACAATTATAATAGGGCATCTCAGCCCATTTCTCCATCAATTTTGGAGAAATTTCATATTTATTCATTGTTAATATATAGAAACATTGTTATTTTTGTACACTAACCTATTCTACAACTTCACTGAACTCATTTACCAGGTTTTATTTTTACTTACTAGTTTTAACAGTTGGAGTTTTTTGGTGGTTTTTAGGATTTTCTATATACAAAATTATATCATCTATACACAGTGACAATTGAACTTCCTTTCTGATTCAGTCACCTTGTATTTCTTTTTCTTACCTAAATGCTCCAGCTAGGAATGTCCATATTAGGTTGAACAGAAGTGGTGAGAGTGGGCATTCTTCTCTTGTTACCTATCTTAAAGGAAATCTTTTCAACTGTTATTACTGATGTTAGGTGTTAATTTCTTATTTCTCTATCAATTTTGAAAGATAGTTTTGCAGGGTATATCAATCTGGGTTGGAGGTTATTTTCTTTTTTTTGGTACCAGAGATTGAACTCGGGTCCTTGCACTTGTGCAGCAGGCAGCAAAACCACTGAGCTAAATCCCTGGCCCTGAGGTTGTTTTCTTTTAGGGCTTGAAATAATTCACTCCAGGCTCTCCTTGACTCAAAGGTTTGGGTTGAGAAGTCTGGTGTGATTCTGATGGTCTTTCTTTTATAAGTGATTTGTTTCTTTTCTCTAACAGCTTTTAATATTTTGTTCTTGTGTTGGATTTCTGGAATCCTGACTATTATATGCCTATGTGTAGATTTTTTTGATCATGGCTAATTGGAGTTCTATATGCCTCATGTATCTGTATGTCAAATTCCTTTCCCCTGTTTGGGGAGTTTTCTCTGATTACTTCAGTGAAGGGTTTATTTATGTCTTTTACATTGTCTCCTACTTTTTCATGGACTCTGATCAATCTTAAGTTATTCTTTGCATGATCTAGCAGCTGTTGGATTGATTTCTCATGGTCCCTTGCTATTTTTAAGAAATCTTACTTTTCCTGTTTGCTAATCTCAGTCATGTCTTCTATATCTGATAATCTTTTCTCACATTTGATTATTCTACTACAGATAATTTTAATGGAATTTTTAATTTTTAATCTCCTGGATATCTGTTTGAATCTGTTTTATAAATTTCATTTCTTTCCTGTGTTGGGCATTCATGGTTTCGAGCATTTTCTTAAGTGTCTCTATTTTTTTTTTTATCTGTGTCTGCTCTAGAGTCACCAATCATGTCTTTCATTATGATCACTGACTCTGTTGTTACCTGAGAAATTATTTCTGATTTGATTTTTTCTAGAGCCTCTTTCATCTGATTTGTTACTTCCAATGTTACCAATTCAGGGAGTCCAGGTGTATAAGTTTTGGATTGT